TATTTAAGTAATATTTAATAAATAATTAATTTAAAAAAACGGTATAATAGATTGGGATTCATGATTTACCTTGCGCTAAAGGTACGTATGGCTGAGCGCTCCACACTCTGCGCCCTCTATCTCAAAAACGATTAGACGTATAAAAAAATGTTTTAAACAAAATTTGAAGAGAATTTTATTCTCTACAACTTTTATAATAAATGCAAATACGATAGGAGGCAGAGAAAAGGAGATATTCTCAAAAAATTGATTTTTGCGACCTTTGACCTTGAATATCTAAGGTCGCTCACACGTTGGCATATGTGACTTTTGAGACAACATTTGCAATGCTAAAATAAAGGTTTGTACAAAAATTCAGCTTATTCCGTTAGATTCCGAGGTGAAATGCCTATATGACTGGACTACGGAGGCAGTTACAGTCAACCAAACTCCAAAATAAAAATGCGTATAACAATGCCATTTTACACCTTTTTTTAATGAAGCCCCTTAAAAAAATTAAAAATGACCCACCCTAATAGACTTTCTATACTCAGCTATGTACAAAAACGTGTCGTATAGACTCCGTGTGGTGGGCGTTGTTAAAGACACTCGATTTTTGACTAGCCAATCACAATTTGTTTAATTTGATCTTTGTGGTAAAAGGAACACGGCTGTTGGAAAGAAAATATTAGGTCACGAAAAAGCACCGCCCAGAACCTAGATTCCCGCTTTTCAACGGAGTTGACTATCCTGTTTTAGGTATCCCTGGGTTATATTTTTATATGTTACTTTAATTTCAAGTAGGCAGCATATATTTATATGGTTCATTGTTGTGGAGTTATTGAGTTGGTACTTTTGTAGTATTGATCTTTCGAATTTTGACAATATTTGTTTTACTTTTTCGTTAGTTCTGGGTCATTCCATGTGACGGGTGGGACACTTGTACTAATTTGTATATGTTTATTCAATTTATATTTTATTATTGTAAGATTTTTGATCCATGGAACCCTGATATTTTTTAATACCCATACGTATGTATATGTATATACAACATCTAAATAAACAATACAAGACTTTTTTAGTTTTTTAAAGTAATTTTTTATTGTGACGGGTGGGACAAGCAAAAAACGATATTTTTATAACTAATTGTTTGGAAGCAAATTTCTGCTAAATTATACAAAACTATAATATGTTTAAATATTTTTTCGTTAGATAAGTCTATGTACTATACAGGGTGTTTCATAATATATGCGCAGGACTTCAGGATGTGATAGCTCATCCAAAAAGATGAAAAAAGTCGCTATTAACTTACCCTCTAAAATGCACAATTTTCGAGATACAGGGTGTTTTTAGAAAAAAAATCTTTTTTTTAGATTATCTCTGGAACCGTTTATCGTACAAAAAACAGCTTTTGTAAGCATTTTCTACTCATAATAAGCTATGTTTTGTGCCAGAAAAAATTTTTTTTTACTCATAAGTGGTGGAGATTTTGAAGGGGTAGCGGGTGTTTTTCTCCTCAACTTCAACGCCCCTGAAAAAAGTACGGTTTTGAGAGGCCCATTCGAACCGCTAATGTTTTCTACAGAAAAAAGGTACTCTTGGTCATAAGCTCTAAAGTTGACCGTTTTCGAGAAAAATCAACTTTTATGTCTAAAAACATGGTAAATTTTTTTACTAATTAAACAAAATTTATTTTAACGTTAGAAAAAGTAACAAAACCAAACGATAATTGCAAAATTAAAAAAAAAATAAAAAATGATTTTTTACTCAAATGCTGAAATGTGCGAAATGCGTTACCTTTACGGTTTGGAGAATTAAGCAAAGACAACTTTTGAATCATTTTTTATTTTGCAATTATGGTTTGGTTTTGTTACTTGTCCTAACGTTAAAATAAATTTTGTTTAATTAGTAAAAAAAATATTTTTTTTTTAAATTGACCATGTTTTTAAACATAAAAGTTGATTTTTCTCGAAAACGGTCAACTTTAGAGCTTATGACCAGGAGTACCTTTTTTGTGTAGAAAACATTGGCGGTTCGAATGGGCCTCTCAAAACCGTACTTTTTTCAGGGGCGTAGAAGTTGAGGAGAAAAACACCCGCTACCCCTTCAAAATCTCCACCAATTATGAGGAAAAAAATTTTTTTCTAGCACAAAACATAGCTTATTTTGAGTAGAAAATGCTTACAAAAGCTGTTTTTTGTACGATAAACGGTTCCGGAGATATTCGAAAAAAACGAATTTTTTTCTAAAATTTCAACACCCTGCACTGAAAAAAAAAATCATGTAAATTTCCGGTAATGGAGATTGGTTATTTTGATGCCTTGTTGATAACTGAAATATTCCATTTCATTATTATTTTACATGTAAAATGTAATAGCATAATTGACGTGTAACTCATTTATATTTTTTATGTAAAATAACATTTTTAATGTAATATGTTTTTTATTTGAAATGATAACATTAACATGCCGATGCGTGGGCAGCATGCGCGAATTCCCAGCCAATAGGCTTCTTCTCCGGTTACATATGAAATGTAATTTTGCGATTTTTACTACACTTCGAATGTAAAAAAACATTTAAACCTGTAATATTAAGACTAATAAAGTATATTTACATTTGAAATAATGCAGTAAGACGTTATAATTGTATTTTTTACATTTAGTTCGTTAAATTTACTTGTTGTATCAATAATTAATACATAACATTAGTAATTTTACAAACAAAAATGTTTATTTACTTGAAATACATAAAAATTAGACGAAAATAAAGGTAATTTTAAAATTTGTCGTAAACATTAGGAATTTATATGGTAATAATCCTGTAACTTTACATTTAAATGTAATAATTTTTTTCAGTGTGTATCTCGAAAATTGTGCATTTTAGAGCGTAACTTAATAGCGACTTTTTTCATATTTTTGGATGAGCTATCACATCCTGAATTCCTGCGCATATATTATGAAACACCCTGTATAATGCGTTTATAAAGTCATTAAAAAATATAATGCGATATTAAAAATGTGACGGGTGGGTCATGATTATGTGACGGGTGGGACAGGTTTAAAAATAATAAGATTAGAAAATATATTACTACTTTATTTAATTTAAATTTATAAGAACAAACATTATTTACCCCTATAATATGCTTTAAAGATTTTTTAAATATGCTGTTACACTATGTAAAATATTTTCATTTTCGGCTCTAAAAAAATGTTGTAAATGAAGATAAGGTATGGGTTTTATATTCCTCCTACATCATAGTAGGTATCTATGTAAAAAACAATTATAAATTTTAAAGATTTTTTAAAAACTCAAAACATTCCTAATCGTCTGTTTCTAGATTTAATTTCTGACCACAAATGCCCAATCAACACTTACACCCCAATCATGAGGCTCTTTACATATATTAGACAATATATATATCGATTTTTAAATTGCCCAGCACAACCGTCGGTAAAAAATGTTATATGTTCTAAAGTGGAGCATTTAATTTTTAAATGGAAAACTATTTTCTTTGTAAAAGTCCAGACTGAAGACTTATCATGAGATAAATTATTACTTAAAATGGCATACGAAATCTTTTCTTTTGCGTTATTTATCCACACACAGGCAGCGCATAAAGCTTCTATATTTTTTCTTTCAGCCCTTCTTTTATATCGTTAGTTTTTTAATTTTTTATAAATTCTATATATTACATAGGGTCTGTTTTAATTTCTTATCAGAACCAACAACAACAGTTGCAACAAAAAAATTATTTGTTAATAAAACAGATTTTTTTTTTCGGTGTAAAAGTACAGACTGAAGACTATTCATGGGATAAATTATTACTTAAAATGGCATACGAAATCTTTTCTTTGGCGTTATTTATCCACACACAGGCAGCGTATAAAGCTTCTGTATTTTTTCTTTCAGCCCTTCTTTTATATCCCTAGTTTTTTAATTTTTTATAAATTCTATAGCTGAATCCATATCTAGATAAAAGATATTTGGATTCAGCTGTAGCTGCACGAAAAAGTCGAGATAAAATTAAAACTGACCCTATGAAGTATATAGTTTTGGCATTTCGAAGGGTGACAAGAAAAAACCTTATTCATTAGATTTTTGTAGTTCATTTTTAACAAGGTTTGAATATTGAATTTTTTAAATTTAAATAACTAATTTTTAAATAAGATGTATATTTCTTTGCCAAGCAAGGAAATATACATCTTATTTGAATTTAAAAAACCTTATATCTTGGTATTTATTTAATTAATTATTTAAAGAAAGTATGAAAGCGCCATTTTTTTAATATTATAGTATAAATATTTATTAAATTTAGATACAGAAAAAGTGGATTTTACCTACTGCACCTGCATTAACAACAACTGATAACTGATTTTTAAATAAATTAACTTAAAAAGTTACAAAACACGCCATAGTGTGACAGGTGGGACAAATTATAATAATTCAAAAAAAAATTAAATTTTAATTAATAGACTTGAAATTACCCCTAAATATTTGGTATTATTGACTTTATTTGCTATTAAAATCTGCTTTTAAAAAAATTAATATTTCTATTAAAATCAGAACTATTTTGTTTTTTTTGTGACGGGTGGGACAAATAGGCATGTCAATTAAAACAATTAATTTAACAAATAATAACTTACCTTCTTTTGATAAACGTTAAACAAGCTTAACAATAAATACTTATTTGAATAAATTTTAAGTTTGACAGTTCTTAAAAAGAGCCAGATCATTAATACAAAGCCAACTTATTTACTTATATTTTATTTAAGCCCTTAAAATTTAATATTTATTTATTGAATATTAAATGTTTAATTTTTACAAAAAACTTCAAATTTTCGTGGAATGTCCCTTCTGCTAAATTTGTAAAAATTCGAATTTTTATCACAAACAATGATGATTTTTGCATAGACACCGTTTATGAGCCGGAGATGTTTTATAGGCATAATACCAACTACATAAAGTTAAAAAAACTGTGCCTACTATGTTTTTAGAGGGTTATATGGTTTTTATGTTTTTAGACATGTTATTAACTACGATTTTCCGCGCAACATTGAAGAGTACGTTCATAGAGTGGGAAGAACCGGCAGGGCCGGTAGAACCGGCGAAAGTATTAGTTATTTCACCAGACAAGACTGGGGTAAAGCTCAGGAGTTAATTAAGATCCTTGAGGAGGCTGAACAAGTAAAAAAATATTTAGCACGAGAAAATGCACATTTTAACAAAAACTTCTTTCAGTATGTACCTGATGAGCTGCACGGTATGGCTGAAAGGTATACCGTTTGGAAGGAGAAGAAAGATGCGGAAAAAGCCAGGGGTGGCGGTGGATACGGGGGTGGCGGTGGATACGGGGGTGGGGGTCATGGAGGTGGCGGCGGAGGGGGCCGATTCGGTCGCGACAGATGGTAACCGACCACAAACTGTTGGGAATATTACTCTGATTTTGGAGGAAGAATGATTCGTTTAGTTTTTATGAAAAGTTTTGTTTTTATATTTGCAATTAAAAACACATTTTCCAGTTATATATGATTTTTTATTATTTTATTTGTAAGTTATTATTATACAAGTACGTGAAGGGGAGCCTAAACTCACTAAAGGTACAGTATTATTTGTTGCACTTTTGTTTTAAGTTTATTTTGTTTTGTTTCATAATATTAACCACGTAATTTGTGTCTCGATCTTCTTTTAGAGATTGATCATCATATATGTCTTGATCATCCTGAAATGAGGTTAATAAATATTAAAAAAATCATTTAAATTATTAGAAAAAAATATTATCCCCTAATAAAAAAAATATTAAAAAAAACAATATTTTATTTCTTACATCTCCCAGATCCAGGCATTTACATTCGACATTGGTTTCATCCACATTTTCAATACAGCAGCACATTGCACATAGATTTACCACTAGAGTCATGGGTAATGCCAGAAAAAAGACCAAGTTAAGAAAAAACTCAGTTTTTCTGCAAAATAAATGTATATTTTTCTAAATAATTTATAAAAGAGAAAAATTTTGTAAACTAATAACCCAAAAACCAGATCGTTATTAAAGTGCGTCTAATTTTTTTAGGAGAATATTATTTTCTTAACCCTTATACAGGCGCACCTCTTTATGCAACGTAGTGGACCGCGCGGGGTGTCAGAGACACCCCTGATGGCAAAGCGTCCCTGAGTGTTATTTACATTTTTTTTCGTTTTTTTTTCAAGGTTACCAAGTTAAGATGAGCTTAGAGACAATGAGAACACAAATTTTAAAAGTCATAATAATAATAAAAACAAAAAAAACACTAAGCACATAAGATAAGGTTTAGTTTTACAAGTAATTATGATTTGGGAAAAAAAGTCAATAGGGAGGCGAAACCCAGCCTGTTCAAAGTCACTGCCTTGGACAAATTACACATCTGCCCTTCTTTACCGGCAACTGAGGTCTTGCAGGACACGGTGTGCCTGAACAAGTCTCAAGTCACATAAAAATGTCAACCAAAACAGATTGTATTTTTGGAATATGCATCTATTCCTCACTCCAAAACCATATTTTTCAAAATCCTAGCTGATCCTCTTTTTTATTTTTTTCCAATTTTCTGGATTTTTTGCAAAAATTGATGAAGTGATGTATAAAATTTACAATTTTAGGCGGACTCCGCTAAAATATTAGTATGACCTATCAATCAATTTTAATAAAGAATCAAGAATTAAAATATAAAGAGAGAGTCGAAAAAAAATCACTATTTATATTTTTTTATAAATCAATAAATTTTCTAATTTGACAAGAGACTGGAGAAAAAATGTGAAGTTTTTTCATAATTTAATTTTTATTAATAATAGTAATCTTTTAATTTATTAAACCATAATGATACCTAAAATTACTTAACAGAAAACTATTGTTAGAACTAAAGTCTACAGCTTTTTTTAAATGTTCACCATAATCAGGATGTTTAAGTAAATTGATTTTATACTTATTCCAGTATTTTATAAACTCGCGAAGGATCGACTCCCCAGCCTGCTCAGATCATGTGCCCAACCCAGCACCGTTCAAAAATCTAATACAATCTTCCGTAGACAATCTTCGTTAGACTAATAGAAGCATTTTTGCGTGAAGAGTATGCTTGCATTTACCGCAAATTGCAGTTAAAAACTGCTTAGACTATATTTCGGATTACTAAGTTTAACAAACAATCTTTCCAATCTTGCAGTTATTACAAACATGCTATTGGGCAGGGATTTTCCAAAAAATATCTTTTTACTGCATTGGGCACAGGCTATACCTCTATTTTCTTCATGGTTCAATTTAAATCTTGCGTTTGTAGTCATTTTTATTTCAAAAAATTCAAAATTACCGAGAGAACTATAACCAATAGATACTATTAACTGTCACTGATAACAATTTACTGTTGTTTTTTTCGCTGAGGCATGGCCTACCTTGTTTAAAAAACTGCTTAAAGCTGTGTAAGCGTGTTAATAAGGTAATTGCAATGCATTGCACCTTTTTTCTTGCAGCCGTATTTTGAATAGCTACAGAAATTAAAATGTAATTTAAACTAGAGATTCTCTAGTTTCATTCCGATCTTATCCTATTCACCCAACGGATATCCATTTTTGAGTGAGTATTGATCTATTTAATATATAATAAATAAATCAATACTCACTCAAAAACGAATCTACCAATTATATAGAATGAAAATCATGTTATAAATCTAATTTAATTAAGCCGATATTCAGGTTTCTTATTTTTTTTTAAATCCAGGAAATTGCAAAAAAATAAATAAGAGGATCAGCTAGGATTTTGAAAAATATGGTTTTGGAGTGAGGAATAGATGCATATTCCAAAAATACAATCCGTTTTGGTTGACATTTTTATGTGACCTGAGACTTGTTCAGGCACACCGTGAGGAACACCTGATAATTTGAAAATTATTGGGCGGAGAAATGTTGGCAAATTTTTATTTGTTGTTTACATAAAATATTAGAACGAACGGAAACAAGCAACACATAACGCAATGCTTTCAAGATAAAAATAAATATTTTGTCGTGCGTTTCAATTGCTTTTTTAACCTTATTTATTGTAAATTAATAACAAAAGTTGAAAAAATCAACTTAACAAATTATAATTTGCATTATGCATTATAATGCAAAAAAATTGTACGTGGAAAGGCGCACGGGGTGTCCACAGCACCCAGAGCCTGTTTGAAACAAAATTCCAGACAACCTATTACATTTACTTCAAAATCGGCAATGTAATATGACTGACAATACTTTGACAGGAAGGTACTGAAAGTAAGCGCTATTTATTCGAATCGAAGTGAGACCGGTAGCTATATTTAGGAAGCTGGGGTGTTTTGTACACCCTGCTTAAGGGTTAATATGATTAATAATGTTTTTTTCTAAAGATCGAAAATATATTACATCTGGCTACATTGCTCTCAATCTGAAAAGGGACGTCATAACTGCTTGATCGCGAAAGCAGATGAATGAATTTTAAAATAATTATTACGGATTGAATTTGACAATAATTTATAAACTGTTATTGTGATTTTAATTCAAAATTAGCACATTATAGACCAGGCGCAGAAAGCACATATTGTAGTCGAGTAGATTGTGTGCGATGCAATTAATATATTATAGCTTATAAGCTTTCGCGGCCGGATTTTATACAGGGTGTCTCAAAAGTCAAGGACAGCAGGAAAGGGGTGGATAGAGGATGGGATTTTAAGTAGAATAGTCTGCCGTTTTTCAATTGGCTACTTTATTTTATTATAACTTATTAATGGTGCGTCTGATCAAAAAGCGGCAAAGACCATTCGACTTAGAATCCCATCCTCTATCCCTCCTTCTCTGAAGTCCTTGGCTTTTGAGACACCCTGTATACAATTTTTTTTAAGCATTTAAATATATTTCTTTAAAATTTTAAAACCTGTTTCAAGGGTTTTAAGTGGAAACCAAAACAGGGCACTTCTCAACTTGCCTCGGTCTACCCCCAGCGAGGGTATCCACCACAACCTCAAAATCTTTAATGCCACTATAGGTCATGTGATACCTTGTTCAAAAGGTCTTTTAAGTCTCTAAATAAGGCTGCATAAAAAAAATTGTTTTCCTTATTTTCATTAAAAAACAAAACGAGTTTAAACGGGTGCAATAATTAATAATCATTGTGATGTAAAATATTTTACATATTAATTAATTAATTGAATGTTCAAAATGTTCTCCATTACTTTCAAGACAATAGTAAAGATCACGTTACACTTTGTGTATTGTGGTAAAGACGATTATCAAATTCTTGTCGTACTTTTTAAAAAGTTTCTGGTGTGATGTTCTGGCTATATACAGGGTGTTAGGTAAACATGCGGCAAGAATTTAAGGGGTTATTCCTTGGCCTATTCTAAGAACATTTTGAATGAGCAACAACAATCGAATATTACATAATAACTTCGTAGAACTTTTCGATGACATGTTGGCGCGCTGTTTAAATTTGACGTACTTGGACCAGGGTTGCCAGATTTTTTAAATTAAAAGGCAGGACAATGTCCTTCCCGGTCAACATTTAACGTAACACACTATTGCCTTTATGTAACATAGGAGTAACATTGCAATGTAACGATGTTACTAAAATGCAACGCAACAGTTACCTAAAATAATGGTAACATTGCGATACTATTGCAATTACATGTAATGTAACAAAATTACCAATAAACAATGTAACAACAAGGTAACATTGTTAAACTTTTGTAACATAAAACGTAACATTGTAAAGCTATTGTTATATAACAAAATTATCAATATGCAATATAACAGTAACGTAACATTGTGAAACTATTGTAATGTAACAAAATTACCAATAAGCAATATAACAGCAACGTAACATTGTGAAACTATTGTAATATAACAAAATTACCAATATGTATAATAGTAACGTATCATTGTGAAACTATTGTAATGTAACAAAATTACCCATACGAAATATAATAGCAACGTAACATTGTGAAACTATTGTAATGTAACAAAATTACCAATAAGCAATATAGCAGCAACGTAACATTGTGAAACTATTGTAATATAACAAAATTACCAATATGGAATATAACAGTAACGCAACATTGTGAAACTATTGTAATATAACAAAATTACCAATAAGCAATATAACAATAACGTAACATTGTGAAACTATTGTAATGTAACAAAAGCAATATAACACAGGGTTGCCACTCATCTGGAAAACCTGAAAATGTCAGGGAATTTAAATTTTTTAGAAATGTCAGGGAATTGGCAAAAAAATTTACAAAGTCAGGGAATTCCTAAGTCGGTCAGGGAATTGGTTATTTATAAATAAAACTGGTCAACAAAATTTTCATTAAAAAAAAATTATGTTAACGAGTGTAATTTAAATTTAATTTATTCAAAATATGGCAGCGCTATATGTCAAACTTATCAATATAATAATAATATTAATAATGTTTATTAACGCTAAATAGCAGTTATACATTGGTTTACAATAAATAAATCAAATTAATTCTAGTAACAAAAACAATATAATGTTATATCAGGTACAAAAATTCAATAGTAATAAAGCCTCGTCTGTCTCACTACACATGCCAGCAATCAAAGACCATCGAGGGAATTAAGCTGGGTTTTAAAGGATGCCAAAGAGCAATTAAAAAAGTTTACTGAGGAGAGACTGTTGCATATTCTGGAAACCCGACTCAATGGAGAATTACTGGCATATACTGTGCGACAGTAGGGAATATCTAATAATTATTCTATCTTCTGAAATACTGGCTTCTTTTAA